GAACCAACAAATTTAGCATAAACATGCCCATCACTAGCACGGCACAACACATAAGAAGGATTAAAGTCACCGGCTTTGTTGGAAGGAGTGGCATTGCCCTTCTTGACATCACCACCCTTCACATTATTCTTCTTCTCCTTAGAAGCACCCTCTCCCTCCTTCACAAAAGTTTGCTTGAGAGGAGGAGGTCATTTGGCCTTGTCATTCTTCCTCTTGTTCTTGGACTTGGGTGCGAACCTAATTCCCTCCTTGGCCACAACTTCCTTTTGATTTCTCAAAATATAGTTGAGATTCTTCTCACCTTGTATGCAAGACACAAGGCCTTTCTCAAGTTGCTCCTTCAACTTAGCATTTTCCTCCACAAGATGCACATGTTCACAACATGGGTTAGTAGCATTTGCATTATCAATTAAGACCATATGATGAAAAGTGGCCTTTTCCTTAGTTATCTTAACTTGGAGTTGATCATGAGACTCTTTGAGGCTAGCATGAGCACCCTTCAAGGCTTTGTGAGCCTTGTCGATTATATCAAACTCCTCCTTGAGTCTAGCAAGATCAACCCCAAGTTTTGCCTTCTCGGAATTAAGCACACGAGATACAACAAGTGCATGATCAAGATCTTTCTTTAATTTAGCATGATCATCATTGTGTGACTCCTCAAGAGCCAAATGATGACCACGCTCTTCCTCAAGAGCATTAGAGAGATCTGATATCTCATCGGCATAGTCACGACTATGTCCCTCCATCTTAGAGATGGTGTCTTCGTGAGCCTCGATCATGTCATTGGCTTCACCAAGTTGTTCCAAGAGAGCAACAAAGTGCTTCTTGGATTTACCCTTGAGCTTACTCATAAAAGACTCAAATTCATTTTCTTCCTCATTGGACCCCTCACTTTCATCAATGTAATCCGTCAAAGAGGGATTAGTAGTGATGGTAGTTTTGATGTTGGGGGTTACCTTGTTGGTGGCTTTGGCCATGAGGCCACTTGGCGGTGATGTTCTCATTGGGTGAGTCGAAGTGGGACACTCGTGGAGTTGTTGCAATGGCAACGGAGGCCATGGCAACCGTCTCACCGTCTTCATCATCATCATCATCCTCATTGTACTCTTCTTGTGCCACCAACCCCTTGGGAGGAGTCTTCTTGGTGAAGTTGCTCTTGTTCGGGAAAGACTTGGCCTTGTCTTTCCGGATGAGTTTGCCACCATTGTCTTCCCTCTTCTCATATGGGCACTCTGCAACAAAGTGTCTCACATTGCCACAATTATAGCAAGTCCTCACTCGTTGCTTGCCCTTCGCGCCACTTGTGTTGTTCTTGTTTAAATCGGGCCTTGTGTTCTTCTTGCTCCAAAATTGCCTTGAAGCGAGAGCCATGTGCTCATGATAAGCATATTTTGTATCTTCGGGGTTGCTCTCCTCTTCTTCCTCTTCATCCTCTTCTTCCACACTAGCCTTGGCCTTCAAGGCAAGGTTGGGCTTCTTTGCTCTTTGAGAACGCAACACCGCATTGTCGGCGGTCTTGTCCAAGATACTCATTGTCACAAACTCATTCAACACTTCACTTGAGGACAAGGTGTGGAAGTCCGGCCTTTGACGGATGAAGGAGGACATGGCCTTATGGTAAGGCATCATGGCTTTGAGAAACTTGCGCTTGATGCAATTATCATTTGTATCCTTGCTCCCATGATCTCGGAGTGAGACCGCGAGAGTGGTTAATCTCCGTTGAAGCTCGCAAGGTTCTTCACCTTCATTCATAGCAAATTCATCGACTTCATCTTGCACCACTTCATAGTTGGAGCGTTGAATGCTTGCGCTTCCCTTGTAAAGGAAAACAACATGGTGCCATGCTTCTTTAGCCATGGTGAAAGGTCGGAGATGCGCAATATCTTCGGATGGAATTGCATCTTGGATGATGAAGAGAGCATTCTCGTTCAATTGATGATCCGCGGCTTCTCGAGGGGTGAAGTTGCTTGGGTCATGCAGATAGAAACCTTGCTCAATGATTCTCCAGAGATTAGTATTGACATGATTTAAATGACGTTTAAAGCGATAGACCCAAGAGTCAAAATCCTCATTTTTCGCAATCTTAGGGGGAGAACCGGCATGATTCAAATGAGTGGAGGGAACCGGTCCTCCATAAGTAAGTGGAGGTTTAACATGGGCACAGATGCCATTTCCACTTCTACCACTAGATGTAGGAACTTTGTCACTCATAGCTTCCCCCTTGTCGGAGTTAGCATCCGTCACCTTGTTAGTGGGATCGACCACTTCCAAATGTGCGGTGGATAATTTAAGACCATCAAGAATGTTCTTAAGCATGCCTTTGACCTCGGCCGTCATGGAGGTGTTCAATGTGTCCAACGCCACATTGAACTCCTCGCGTGAGATCGAGGTTCCCCCATCGGCCGTAGACGAGGACGGAATCACACCGGGGTGCTCCTCCTCACCGTCTACGGTGTCAACCATACTCTTCGGACTGCAAAGTCCTTAATGAAGAGATGAAGCTCTGCTACCAATTGAAAGGATCGATATAGTTGACTAGAGGGGGGGTGAATAGGCAACTAACAATTTTTAGCTTTTTTTAACAATTTAAACTTTGCATCAAAGTAGGTTGTCTAGATATGCAACTAGGTGAGCAACCTATATGATGCAACAACAAGCACTCAAGCAAGCAAGAGATGTAACACAATATAAGCTTGCACAAATAAAGGTATGAGATAACCAAGAGTGGAGCCGGTGAAGACGAGGATGTGTTACCGAAATTCCTTCCCTTTGAAGGGAAGTACGTCTCCGTTGGAGCGGTGTGGAGGCACAATGCTCCCCAAGAAGCCACTAGGGCCACCGTATTCTCCTCACGCCCTCACACAATGCGAGATGTCGTGATTCCACTATTGGTGCCCTTGAAGGCGGCGACCGAACATTTACAAACGAGGTTGGGGCAATCTCCACAACTTAATTGGAGGCTCCCAACGACACCACGAAGCTTCACCACAATGGAATATGGCTCCGCGGTGACCTCAACCGTCTAGGGTGCTCAAACACCCAAGAGTAACAAGATCCGCAAGGGATTAGTGGGGGGAATCAAATTTCTCTTGGTGGAAGTGTAGATCGGGGCCTTCTCAACAAATCCCTAGGAAATCAACAAGTTTGATTGGCTAGGGAGAGAGATCGGGCGAAAATGGAGCTTAGAGCAACAATGAAGCTTGGGGATATAAGAGGTGGTCAACTCGGAGAAGAAGACTCCCCTTTTATAGTGATAGGACAAATCCAACCATTATTCACTACTTCAGCCTACGACGTGCGGTACTACCGCGAGGCACTGCGGTACTACCACATGCGCGACAGGAGCTAGACGGGCCCTAAAGCGTTGAAGTAAGGAGCGGTACTACCGCTCCCCTTGCGGTACTACTGCAAGGCAACGGACATATAAAAATACAGCCGTGGCTACTTTCGCTGAGTTTCGATCTGTGCAAAAATCCGACACGGTACTACCGCGAACCAGGAGCGGTACTACCGCGTAGGGCGCGGATGTAAAAAAATACATCCACCCCTGCTTCCGCTCATGCTGCTGTGCCCGGACTGTGGCCACGGTACTACCGCACCCGCGGAGTGGTACTACCGCACGGGCCTGCGGTACTACCACAAGGGCCTGCGGTACTCCCGCTCCCATGAGCAGTACTACCGCATGCCCCAACACAACAACACTAGGAGTTCTTCATTTTGCAGAGACACGAAAAAACGAAGGATGCTCCATGGAGCCAAAGGAAAGGTGGTGCAAAAGGATCAGACGTATACGTGATGATTCCACACAAACCTTTCCAAAGCGGACCCCCTCTTAATAGTGCGGCTTTCCTATGACTCAAATCTACCGAAAAGAAACGTAGGGAAAACTCCGTCTTCACTAGACTTCGAGGGGCAACGAATTGTCTTGTGCCCAAAACATAAGATATCTGAAATGCTCAATGCACACGATTAGTCCGCAAAAGCATTGTCATCAATCACCAAAACCACTTAGGGATAAATATGCCCTTACAGCTTTTTTTACCCGCTTAGGTATAGCTTTGGTCTTGTATGACTTTACTATTTTCCGGTGTTTTGTGTGTGTTGGAGTTGGTTGTGTGCATTCAAGATATACAATGGCCGGACGTGTGCTTTTTGTGTTTTGTATCCACTTGATGCTTTATTCTAAGTCAGTAAAATTCACCCTCTATCGAAAAAAACAGCCATGGCACGATGGCTCCTACATCCAACTCTGAACGTTAGAAATATGCAAGTCCTCGATGATGCACGTTTGTTAGAAATCAGACGGTTAGGTTTTTTGTGGTGGAACTAACCCATCAGGGTTCAAGTTCTAAATTTGGAATTGGTGAACATATTTTCTTAAATTTATTTCAGGCTGGCAATGTACGCTCCTGTCGATTACAAAATTGTCTATGACGACTTCGTCAATCTTAAGATGTTGAGTATCTCAGAGATGCTCATATAGGTGAGGTGTTCATATGAGTGAGTGTGTAGTATATGAGCATATGGGTTTGTAAAACAAAAGAAATATGAATTTCTACCAGTTTATTTATTTTCCTCCAATAATCCAGAGTGGTGAAGTAGATTTATCAGTCAGACGAAAAAACAAATTTAAGTTTAGGTAACTTTTCCCGTCCAACAAGTAACCAGCACTCTTTCCCCAAAAGAAAAACAAAAAAAGGGTAGACTTTGGTTTTGCTTGAGGAAACCCAAATCCAATCCGAACTCCTATCCCGTCCCCCACCTCCACGGCACCGCCACCGCGGCATTTCTTCCTCCAAACACCTCTCCTCCTCAACCCCATCGCCGCCGCTCCCGTCACGCCACCTTCCTTCCACCCCCACCTCCCACGCAAGCCCTCTCCCGAGCTGCTGCCGCCGCCTCCTATTTATCCAGCGCTTGCCCACCCGATGCCGCCTCCATCAACCACCTGCCCCTGCCCTTTCTTCCCTTGAAAGTTGGAATCTTGCGAAGGGTCCCAAATGGCGACGGCGTCTGTTGCTGCAGCTGGGGTGGAGGAGGGGTCAACGCCGGGGCCGCAGGCGGGGGGCGCCGAGATCGCCTTCTTCGACCTGGAGACGTCGGTGCCGCAGCGGGCCGGGCAGGGCTACGCGCTGCTCGAGTTCGGGGCCATCCTGGTGTGCCCGCGCCGCCTCGTCGAGGTCGCCTGCTACGCCACGCTCGTGCGCCCCGCCGACCTCGGCGTCGTCTCCGCCGCCTCCGTGCGCTGCAACGGCATCACGCGCGACGCCGTCGCTGCCGCGCCGTGCTTCCGCGACGTCGCTGACAAGGTCTACGACCTCCTGCACGGTGAGCGCCCCGCGCCATCTAGTTTTTTGTTTGTTTGTTTCAGCACCGGGAGCTGGTTCTCGGCTCCTACTGCACGCCAAGGACTTAGTAACAATTAATAATTATGAAGCCTAACGGGGAAGGAGCCCGGTTGGAATTTAATTAAGGTCAACAACAATAACAACAACACCAGCAGTAGCTAGGCTCCCTACTAAAAGAAACGGGCACTATCTGAATTTATTCACCCAATCTCTGAATGAATGGTAGGTCTTCCTGTTTACTACGCGCAGTTCTCCCCGTAGGACTTATGGAAAGGTGACACCATCAGCGTGCTTTCATGGCAATAGGCCTCGACAGTAGTGTGTGTATGTGAATTTGTGGAGTGTTGCAGGAGCCGGTTAGCAATGATACGTCTTATGCAGTTCTTCTATTTATGGCTAGTGAATGAGGTTGCAGTTTTTGCTGCCTATGGCTTGTTATCAAAGACCTCTGTAACCTTTCTCAGATGCAAGGATGTCGGTAGAAATGTGTGCATATTCTCAGGAAATAGAACATAGGTGCAAACATTGTGTTTTTTATTTAGTATAATTGCTGTAGTATAATTGCTGTAGAAGGACTTGCATATGGTGTTCATTGACTTGGAGAAGGCCTATGATAAGATACCGCGGAATGTCATGTGGTGGGCCTTGGAGAAACACAAAGTCCCAGCAAAGTACATTACCCTCATCAAGGACATGTACGATAATGTTGTGACAAGTGTTCGAACAAGTGATGTTGACACCGATGACTTCCCGATTAAGATAGGACTGCATCAGGGGTCAGCTTTGAGCCCTTATCTTTTTGCATTGGTGATGGATGAGGTCACAAGGGATATACAAGGAGATATCCCATGGTGTATGCTCTTTGCGGATGATGTGGTGCTAGTTGACGATAGTCGGACGGGGGTAAATAGGAAGTTAGAGTTATGGAGACAAACCTTGGAATCGAAAGGGTTTAGGCTTAGTAGAACTAAAACCGAGTACATGATGTGCGGTTTCATTACTACTAGGTGTGAGGAGGAGGAGGTTAGCCTTGATGGCCAGGTGGTACCTCGGAAGGACACCTTTCGGTATTTGGGGTCAATGTTGCAGGAGGATGGGGGTATTGATGAAGATGCGAACCATCGAATCAAAGCCGGATGGATGAAGTGGCGCCAAGCTTCTGGCATTCTCTGTGACAAGAGAGTGCCACAAAAGCTAAAAGGCAAATTCTACAGGACGGTGGTTCGACCCGCAATGTTGTATGGCGCGGAGTGTTGGCCAACTAAAAGGCGACATGTTCAACAGTTAGGTGTGGCGGAGATGCGTATGTTGAGATGGATGTGTGGCCACACGAGGAAGGATCGAGTCCGGAATGATGATATACGAGATAGAGTTGGGGTAGCACCAATTGAGGAGAAGCTTGTCCAACATCGTCTGAGATGGTTTGGGCATATTCAGCGCAGGCCTCCAGAAGCTCCAGTGCATAGCGGACGGCTAAAGCGTGCGGAGAATGTCAAGAGAGGGCGGGGTAGACCGAATTTGACATGGGAGGAGTCCGTTAAGAGAGACCTGAAGGATTGGAGTATCACCAAAGAGCTAGCTATGGACAGGGGTGCGTGGAAGCTTGCTATCCATGTGCCAGAGCCATGAGTTGGTTGCGAGATCTTATGGGTTTCACCTCTAGCCTACCCCAACTTGTTTGGGACTAAAGGCTTTGTTGTTGTTGTTGTATAATTGCTGTAGGATCATACATAAATGGAATCCACACAAGGGGAAGTTAGAAGCATCATCTTTGCTTAGGTCTGAACCTGAATGTCTGCTTTTTAAGCTGTTTCCTGTGAAAGTTCTCACGTTAACAATCTTGCCAATTTCGTACAGGGAGGGTTTGGGCCGGGCACAACATCGTGAGGTTTGATGTGCCAAGAATAAGGGAAGCGTTCACCGAGATTGGCCGGACACCTCCGGAGCCGAAAGGGATGATCGACACACTACCTCTGCTTACCCAGAGGTTTGGGAGGAGAGCAGGAGACATGAAGGTACACAAGCTTGTGTTGATGTAGAGTCACTTATAGTTTGTAGAAGGAGGTTTTGATTTAGATGAGGATTAATCATATGGACAATTGAGTTCTCACTCGAGCTGAAAAACATATGGCCTTTCCTTACTGAAAGTTTTCAGGACAGTTCCTTATTGCAACAAAGAATATTCATATGTTCTTATCTTGTCTATTGTATCCACAGATGGCAAGCTTGGCAAATTACTTCGGTCTAGGGAGGCAAAAGCACAGGTAGATGTTACATTAATCCAGAAGTTATAATTTCGTCTGAATTCTGAATGCTTTGTTGCAACTAATTGTCACCTTTGCCCACTTGTGTAGCGCGTGCGCGCACACACACACTTAGTATCACTTCACTTCACTTCCTGGAACATGCCTTGCTAGGTTGCTATCCATTGTTCGTTGACCTTGTTATGTTGCTCAGATTAGCATATCGTGTATGCTGCTACTTGGGATGTCGGGATAGTGTGATACAAGAAATTTTGTTGCACGATGCCTCGTTTGATTTCCTAACTATCTAATATGTCTTGCAGCAACGATGTAACTTAGGATACCCAGATCATATCCACCCCTGATTTTTGTCCCTTCCCATATTAGATGCTTGTCTGACAATTAGTTTCTCCTAATAAACTATTACATGATCCATGATGATTCTCATTTACAGATGTATCATGCTAAGCAGAAGAGATGTCACAATTATATGTGATCCAGCCCATTATGTCTTGGCAGCATCATGTCACTTAGTATACCCAGATCCAATCCAACCTGGATTTTGCCCCATCCCATCTTAGATGTCTCATCTGAAAATCATTATCTCCTAAAAGGCAAAGACTATTACATGATTCTTCTCTATAGGTATAACATGCGGAGTTCAAGAGATGTCACAATTATATGTCGCCCAGTCCATCAATTGTTACTCTTAGTACAAATTGATTGTTGCAAACAGCTATCTTGGTTCATGTGAATTACATCTGTTGCTCAGTGTGCTCATGATTGTGCCCAACGTTTGCTCAGTTTCTTATCAAGTTTGATTTGCATTCCCTTCTGCAAGGAAATATCATTAACTACCAAGTAATAGTTACAAGTTGATATTATTATTTCCTGTGATTTTTTTATTTCTTACATGAAACTGTAGTGAATGATCTTGTACTAAATTGCTTTGAAATCTATCTACAGGAGCCTGGATGATGTCAGGATGAACCTTGAAGTTCTCAAATATTGTGCTACAGTGTTGTTCCTGGTATGATTGCTTAACTGCCTATTATTCAGATGACCTTCATGAAACATTTATACAATTTTTTTGTAGTAGCTGGATGGTGGTTACCTTCTGCTACTTTTGTTTCCCTGGAATTACTATGGTGTTTTTTCCTGCCATTTTTTCATGCATTGGTCATCTGGAGTAGCTTCAACGGACTTTTGAGATTTAACTATTGCAATATAGACCTTGTATCAATGGCAGGAGCATCATCAACGTATAACACATCTTTCATTTTCTTAATATGTTCCCTGTTTTGATAATTGCAGTTGTTATTTTTCTGCAAAACGAAGAAAACCATCATTGTAGTTCAAGATCTTGAATTACGGATAGAAATAGTACTCCCTCGTTTTTCGTGATTAAACTTTGACCATCATTTTCATCAATAATATATTAATCAATGTTACAAAAACTGTATCATTTGAAACTACGCTTTTGTACGAATTCGATGGTATAATTTTTTTTGACATAGCACATGTTTTGTTGGTCAAATGATGGTCAAAGTTGAACCTCGAAATACGTGTGCGCCATGTTGTGATAGGGACAGAGGGAGTACCAACTAGGAGAATAATGAACCGATGAAGCATCCTATTTATGACATGTTTCTAGACTCCATTAATCTATTTGATGTTTCAAGATAATCAATTGACTAAATCCTGCTAACAGGAGGCAAGTTTTCCGGAAGTGCTTATTGTTGAGAACCTTGTGGGTGCAATTACAAGAAGCAAAACTGATGGAGCTACTTCTCCTGAGGTGAAGAATATTGAAGCAAACACATCACCCGATTCTTCGAAACGACAACGTACTGTTTCTCAAGTCAATGGTTTGACTACAGATCAAGATAATCAAGAATCAGTTGATCCTGCAATGAACGGGGAATCCAGTGACCTGATATCCCACATGGAGGAGATGAAATTAGATGCTTCTGTGCAGATGGATGCGAGTTTCAGTGGTCATTCTGGGTTCCTCGAGCCAGACGATGTATCAACTGAGTGCATCAAGATTTTTACTACCCCTTCTTACCAATTTAATCGGAGAACATTGATCAAGCACAAAGATAGTCCACTACACCTTTGCTGCGCTGGCTTGAAAGTCCAGTTTGGAGTTGGCACAAAGTTCCTAGACACTGCAGGTCGTCCAAAGTTGAACATGGTGGTTGATATCCCTGAGAATCTAAGCAAAGTTCTAGAATTCTGTGATAATCAGGCCCAGAGATTTTTACAAGAGTCTGGTACCACTTCCGAGTGGAGACCCCTGATAAAGAAGTACGGTTATGTGAATCGTCCAACCGTTCGCCTCAAGTGAGCCCTGCCCCCTTTCCATCTCTGGTCTTTGATTTGCCGCCTCACATATCTGATTTGTAATGTTGAATTGCATTTGCAGCATCCCTACCACTCCCAGCAGCGGTGCTTCGCCCTACTTGACAGACATATATCAGAAAGAGCCCAGCGGCAACATTCAGAAGCTTGCTTTTAGCAAGGTAGATGCCGCGGAACTGGACATCCTGTTTGTTCGGGGGAACAGGCTGGATGCATTCTTCTCGCTGGAAATATATGACTACCAGCAAAATGCTGGCATCCGGTTGGTCGCGAAGAGGCTGGTTGTACACTCCAAATAGTACCAGTCATAGTCCATATGATTTGTATACTAGTGCTAGAAGCTAACTCTTGCACTAATTTAATTAATGGCTTTATGTCCTTCAGCCAGCTTTATATTACTAATTATCATGTGAGTGTGAATAAGATCTGACCAGTAGCAGTCTAGCAGATGCTGATGTTGAAGTAGGGATCCAGATGTTGTAAAGGATTCTAACAGGATATTTGTTCATTTGTTAATGGAAAGATCATGTATAGGTTTATATATATATTAAACATAAGTTTAAAGATTTTCTTCTCCAAAACATTGCACGTGTATTAGTTGATAGTGTGATGGTCTCGATCAGCGATATCATGTAGTGTGAGTCGATGGTTGTGAAAAGGTAAATAATGTTGTATTTGACCATTCCGAATGTTTCAGTTCTTGAATATCATGGTGATAAACAGCTAGCAGCTACAGAATATATGGAACCTATTAGTTGTGTGTATCTACAGAACTGTTTTTATTTTTTTGAGGAAATCTACAGAACTGTTTGTGCTACTAAGAACCAACCAAAACTGCCATTGGTTGGATATAGTTAGGGTGGTGGTACCTCCAGCCCACAATTGATTAATCATTGGATTGACACTTTGGTGTCCCGTTAAAAAGATGACAATCCCGAGTATAACACTTAAACTAAGAACCATGATGATCCGAGCTTCAAACTTGTTGAGTTTGTTTTTTTTCCATGGTACGCACCAAAGCATCGGTAGGGTTATGGTTCCATTTCCGTTTGCGATTTGTACACCATGACACATCCTAAATTTTCTATAGGACGGACCTACATAGTGCTGAGTGGGTGCCCAGGCCCCCACTCAATTTTTGGAATTTCAGTAAAAATTGCTTATATTCTACAAGATTAATTTTGTAATTCTTCAAATTTGTACAATAAGTGCCCCCACTCTAATTATTTGCCCCCACTCCACCAAAATTCTAGGTCCGCCCCTATGTCATCATCTTTGTTCCTCCTGGATTCCCATGGTTCATATGCTGCCATGTTTCCTGGTCCTTTTCTTTTTAGTGCTTCGACTCAGAGCGATAGCTTGATGATGGCAACCTCTCGAATGAGAAGATGTCTGCCGTGTAAAGAGATAACAACTTGGATGCAAGTGGACAAAAAAGTCTGATTTCGACCAAGGTAAAGACTAAGACATGTTCACTGGCTTCTTTGTTTACCTCTAATATCTCACATATATTGCTCAAATATATGTAATTAAGAAGGAGCAATAAGCTTTGCACAAAAGCTCTGCATCCAAGAAATACATACAGCACACTTGTATCGATTTTCAGTCTACTTGATGAAGAAGTAGAGCTTTGCATGTATTTCATCCATGAAGAACGAAGGGGCTATACATATATGGTGGACATGCTGGACCTCTGAGTGTGTTGCGTGTGCAATTTATTGTGTGATGCTCATGCGCATTTTTCATGACTTTATCATTAAGTTTCCCGGTGCAAAAATGTAAATGCTGTGTGTGCCGCACGTTCTTCGTATGTACTGTAGATGATGCAAAAATGGGCAAGCAGCAGCCAGCTCAAATCTGCTCCGTTAGTTGAACTGGACGAATCGAACACCGCTGGCAAGTATGCATGGTGTACCAGATTACAAGATGACAGGAATTTCAGCAGGTCCATTGATTTCCTGCCTATTGACTAGTAGTGAGCATACACGTGTTGAAAGTACACCAGAGGCGTGGTTTGTCCACTGGCATAGCTTTACTAAACATGTCGTGGAAAATCGACGTGTGTTTATAGAATTATAGCGCACAAAGGTGCCCAAGAGTGGAACTTTCCCACAACTAAACATCGATCCACATTTAAAATGTATGAACAGGTAAAATAGCTTTGTACCATATTGTGCTACCAAACAGAGGTTTCTATTTCCTCGCACCTATCCTAGTCCAAGAACGTTGGGCGCAACTAGTTATTCACGATCCATGACAACGCGATCTAGTGGAGTTATAGAGAAAAGTAGCTTAAAATGCTCTTTGATGACTACATTAATCCTTATTAGCCCCTTGGCCTCCTTGCAAGGAATCACAAGGCCTTCAAATCTGAAACCCCGTAGGGGGACCGTGTGAACTACACATATTTGTATGGGAGACAACATGGTCAAGAGGAGCAGTGTGACCCCCGGTGAGAACCAGCGCAGCAAAATGACGACGCGGTGCCATTGGAGAAGAGTGAAGAGCTCATCTTCATCCTTTCCCGATGGACGCCAACACCCATCACCACTAGGTTCCGCCACCCTGAGATCACCATATTAGATCCTCCTAAGATGGAATGTCTAGCTGAGTTAACAGGTGTAACTCTCTTTTTGTAGCTTCTCCCACTGCATAAAATACATGGGTGCTCTACCTACATCTTTGTTTCCCTCCATTATTCCAGCTACTAAATATGAATTTGCACCTGACACATCCCACAAAATGAAATGATAATATGAGGCTAGTTGCATCCATGGAGCAGTGGTAATAGGACTCCACATATATAGCACTGTTTTCATCTTCCTGTTAACTTCATGCATGTGATGTAGCCATGCAAAAACTATGTGGTGGCCATTCAGGAGTTGTGAGTGACATGCTTTTGCCATGCCCGTCAGTATTTGCTCAACAATCAAGCATGATGTTGCCATGATGCATGTACATTATGTAATGTAATCCTCGTTGCACTGCTGTCATGCTATGCAGGACCAGAATCCGCAAAGAGAACAAACCCCATGATTATATAATATCAAGAATCAGCTATAATATTTGTTATTAACTGAATTTAGACTAGGCGTAAGTTTTTTTTTGAAATAAAAGGGAATCTCCTAAAATAAAAGATTTTTATTTCTTGACTCTCATAAATTGCAAGTACTGCTTCTGCAAGTACGCATGCACAAGCAACTGACCTCTCATACAGTTTCCATGTTACAAATATATAGCATTGTTTTCAGTTTTCACCTCCCCCCGTCGATTTACATTAACCGCCACAAAGTCATTACAAGCCAAAGTGCAAAAAAGAACTATGTAATGGACACCAGTAGCATTGTATTGCCACGGGCCGCACTGGTTTAATTCTTACTGCTTACCTAGTTTGAACAGTGCCACCAGCCATAATCTTCACACGAGTCTCCTAGGCAATAGGTGCGCCGACCTTAAAGAAGAATGTTGACAATCTGAGAGGCTCTTCTGAATCAAATTCAAACCATATTGCTGCAGCATCAATTCTGTGCTAATAATCATTTATTCATTTTCATTTACCATCCCCAGGAGCACTCTTCATCTTGAGAGGGTCAGATGCTATTCTCCACCAAACTAATTAACAGTGTATCATTGCGGATAACTGCAATCCCCAGCAGTAAATAGAAAATACATTCAGGGAGACCAAGAGGAGACAAGAAACTGGCCAAGCAGATTAGTCACCTGAAAAGGCAAACAAAATGCAGTGTTGTTGCATAGCTTCCCTCTGATAAGAAAACTTTGGATAAATGTAAATCGGAAATAGCATTTTTTTTTCATCTCATATTTTCAGTCAGAAAAGAAAAAACTGAGAGCAGCAAGTTTCAACGAGCAATACTATGTTCATCTCAAAAAGTTTAAATATGGTCCAACTCCTGTTTTGAATCATTTCAATTAGGAATTACATAGCATTTAGTAATTGACATAAAGCCATAAAAGTACTCCAGGACTCACTCTGATCAACCAAGCAAAAACAATAACCACTAGTACCAACTACCAACTTTGCTCGCATAATTAACTGCTTTAAGAATATGATTCTCATGAAAATTTTATAATATTTAACATTAGGCATACCTTCTGTCTGGAATCAGGCAAAGACTGATCAGTCATGCTATCATCAACCATGACATCCTCATTGATGTTTATAGCATCCCTTTGTGATACCCTCGTTGGATTTCTTTCATAAACAATAATCTCTTCATATGCCTTCTGTAAGATATCTTTTGCTGCTTTGTACACTGTCTCTGATCCAGATCCTTTCTCAGCATATCTGATGGCATCAGCACATAGAACATCGTAACGGCTTGTAATGGACTGACAAGCATCATCTTGATGGTTATCGCAGTTGTATTCTAATAAACCACAGTCTCTGGCCTTCCTTGTCCAACGCTTCAAATAGTAATCAGGTGGAAGTAAATGTGGATCAACTATTATGAATACTCCTAGAATATGACGGCATAAAATACCCGAGAACTCAAAGTATTTGCAACTACATTTTGCCATCTTATTGGAGGCATTGTAGGTCACACAGAATGTATCTGATGAATTTTCATCTTTCATGACGTTGTATTCACTTATGCAGCCATCTTTAGTTTTCTGAATAATATATGCCAAAGACTCTGTAAATTCTTCCTGAAATCTACTAAAGACTGCTTTGGTGTAGGTACGTGCTGCCTGCTTTTCCATTGGTGATGCAGTCTTTGTCGTCACCAAATTTAAAGAAGTGTCCATATCTGCTTTTGCTTCTTCCTCATAATGGTTTTCTGTGCTCAAATCAAATTGGGTTAGAAAAACTTCCAGTGTCACCTTCGTACTAAAATACTTCTTGTAGAAATCATTCATGGTTTCTAACTTCTGCGCTTTAGATATTTCTGCACAGAATGTATCCATCAGGTACAAAGGAACCCATTTTTGGCGGATATTGTACATTGCTTGAAGCCATGTATTATTTCTTAAATCATAAGTATCAATGATTGACATCCACGCTGTTTCGAATGTGTTGATTGTTTCAGACTCAATAACACAGCTTTCTAACTCATCTATTAAAGTAGGATGCTCTGAGTATGTATGAGCTAACTTCTGTTTGGTTCTACTCAAAATGTGCCACTTGCAGAAGCGGTGACAGGTATGCGGAAAAACCCTTCCAATTGCAGCTTTCATGGCCCGATTTTGGTCGGTAACTAGTGAACATGGTGCCTTCCCACTCATTGCTGCCAGCCATGTTTCAAATAGCCAAACAAATGAGCATTCAGTATCTTCCATA